CAAAGTGCTAATACTTAAAATTGAAAAAAAAAGTCTGTAGCTAACTCACGATTATTCCTTTTTCGTGATTATTATAGAATCAAAGGTGGTTTCCAAATATGTATTCTGCTTCCTTTACCAATTCGGGGTCGTTTAAAGCAGTGTGCAATCAATTACGTAATATGTAGCAACTTGTTTGTTTTGATCAACACGGATCACCCGACGAAGTAAAAAAAAGAAAGTAAAAAAGACAAAAAAAAAAAAAAGTGTGTTTAAACCTACCTCAAGGAATTAACAAAACATGTCGGAGAGGCAATTTTGCTATAAGACCTATCTTTACCACCAACCCTTACCTAACTTTGTTAATTAAAAAGTCAAAATCATATGACTGCGCCCTGCTTTAAGCAACTTCCAATTCGGGTAAAGTCAGATGTGTACATGTGATACATTTCTTGACTAATCGAATTTATTTCTCGGATAAACGATATATTTTGTGATTTTATCACTCCGACTTTGGTATCACTCGCGCGACAATGTGAAATTTTCTTTGAACACGAATTAAATGTATTTATATCGACTCATAACAACTAAGTAAAAATAACGCATACTATATTTTTAATAATATAAAATTTTTTCTCTTTATAGTTATTTTAATATGAAGTTTCTTTATAGCGTTATTTATCTTTTTATATTTAGCAAAGCATATTTTCTTGTTACCTGTCAGAATATACCTACTCCACGAAGTGAACATGCTAGTACATTAATTGGTACTAAACTTTACTTCTTTGGTGGAAGCACTTCTTTAGCCTATAATGATGTATGGTATCTTGATTTATCAAATTCATTTAATACAATTACGCCTCCATGGAACAGAGATGTTGCAATGCCAATAGGATATATCTTTGGTACATCATGTACTAACCCTATTGATAATTCCACTGCTTATATAATTGGTGGAAGGGCATATACTCCCAATACAGCAAATTTCACTCTTGCTAATTCACCGGTATATACATTTATCTCCAAACTTTCACAATGGACAGCGATAACGAATATTATTGGATTCAATACTACTTTTTCACAACGTAGTGAAATGCAAGCTGTTGTTGATAATAATGGAAAAATTTTCATCTTTTCAGGTGCAAATTATTACACATCAACTTTTTATAATGATATGAATATACTGGATATTACTACTATGTCTTGGACAACACTAATTCAACCTTCAAGCGTTCTTGCAACTCTTAATTACGTTGCAGTATTATCGCCAAATGGTCTAATTATTTATGTCGGTGGGCGTCAAATTAATGGAACCTATAGCAGTATGAGCCAAGTACAGTATATAAATCTTTCTCATTTTATAATTTTTAATTTTCCATGTGCTTTTTTTTTTAAAGCTTTCTCTAATATCAAATGTAGATTAGAACATTTGATACAAAATCTTACATCTGGTCTACTAAAGTAATGTATATAATTAACCTTAATACTATATTATTATATAATGTTATGCCGTTAATAATTGAACATAATAATTTTTCCAATTTAGACTGTTGGTGGTTCTACTGTTGGGGTTCGTGCTGGACACACTGCCGTTTTAAGTATGTTGTGTATAACAATGTCAAGTCAATTTTGACGTTTACTTTTACTAAATACATCTTTTTTCAATAGCACAAACAGGAAATATTATTTTACATGGAGGTTCATTAGTAAATATTAGTGGTTATATCACTAGCGTGCTTTCTGATGTTGCTGTATTAAATACAAATGCTTGGACTTGGTCTATTCCGAGTATCTCGGGAACTAATTCTCCTCCACCACTCACAGGCCATTCTGCTATATTATATAACAATTATATGATTCTTGCATTTGGTAATTATTTTATTTTAAATCTTCATTTTTTTTTCATAAGTCATGTAATTAAAATTATTTGATATATCTAGGTCGGACTTCAGCAGTAGACTCAGTATCCTCATTCACAAATAATATTTATATTCTTGACACACAAAATTACGCTTGGGTTACTACAATATCTATGACTACTCCAATAACTCCAACAACTCCAGCTAAACAAACATCTACTGCAAGAAACTCTGCTACTGCATCGGCACAAAAGTCAAGTACTAATAACTTATTCCTTGGAGTTGGTATTGGTGCGGGTGCGATTATTTTAGCTATAATTGTGTTTATTGCTGGATTCTTGATTTGTAAAAGACGGCATCCACGAACTATTATAACAGAAGGAGCATATACGAATAATAGTATGAATGCTAATATGAATGGATCATATATACCTATGCCTATGCCTTCTCCTTATACGATGAGCACTCCTACCAATAATAATATGAATACAAATATACGTGAATCTAACATGTATATGCCTGAACCATATACACCTAATTATGGTGTGCCCGTATCTGGAAGTATTTACAATAATTATCAAAGTAATTTGCGATAATCGCTATAGTGAGCTCGAATAATAATTATTTTACCAACATGTTTAAAAAATGAACTATTCAATTTACTAGCGTAATGTTGTAATAGTACTAACTCAAAATCTCTCATATACTGTAAAAAAAAAATACTATACAATAATTTATCTATTACCTTTTAACTTTACGTCATATATTTCAACTTATTTTAGCATAATTAATAACTGCGATTCTGATAATGATAAATTATAATAGACATGTTGCAATAACTCAGATAAATAAGAAAAATAATATTAATTACTATTAGCATCAAATATATATTGGTTTTTAGCATAAATTTATACAACTTTTTGAACTAATTATATTATAATAATTTATAACTATCTTATAGGAATGGATAAAATATAAATTAAAGAATTTGTAAGTTAAATAAAATATAAATTTTGCATTATGTTTATTTTCCTTGAATTATAACTAGTCTAACAGTTTTAAATTACAAATACATTTGGTAGTATACCCTCCATGAGTTTGACTCATGTACTAACTAATGAACCTTCATTAAATGAGTTTTTTAATAAACATAGACTGCTAATTATAAATGCAAATCGTGTATACATTTTAAAATTTTTCTGATTACGATATAAACGCTCAGTCGTGTACTATATTCCAGACTATTATAGATTTTAAAATTGGTAGAATGTAACAGATTCGTATCTTCTATACGCTTATTTAAAGTTTAAAATTTGTTTATAATATTTATAAGTATTATTCATATTTTTTTTACAATTAAAAATGCATATTTCTATATTCTAAACAATTTTACTCAATATAAATCAATGTCTTGGCAATAAATTTAATAAGTAAAAGAATTAAAAGAAATGTCGTAAACTGCTGACTCGTATACCTCCATGATTTGTACCCAGGGGATTTTTGAAAACGAAAATTTCCACTAGTAATATAAAGTATGCCATATAAAATCAATAATTCTATGTCTTGAGGAATAACCTATGGGTAAAGACTTTGAAGATTGACAAACCGAAATGAATAAACTGAAATGAATAAAATACCCGGGTACATCTCTAGCCATTATAAAATACCCGAATATACGAGTTAGTAGTTTACAATAGTATATTAATGAATTATTAGATAATTGGAAAAAATAAAAATATAAATTGGGTAGAAGATGTTTAAAATTTTAGAAGAAACAACAGTCAATTATCCTGATAATATTAATAGAAAATTCATAATAATGCTTGCAAAATTTTAGCTGACTATATATTGGGTATTTCAACGGGGTCAATAGGTTTACTTATTGCTAGAGAAAAGAAGGTTTACAACAAAGAAGACAAGACCCTGAATAATACGGATAAATGTTATATTACTGTATTACTTACTGTTTTTGCAATTTAAATTGGTTAAAACAAGGCTCAACAATTATAGTTACAGATTTTTGGATAAATTTTGTAAAAATTTATATTAACCCTAATATATCTTGTTCCGCACAAGTAGAACAACAAATCTTTTTTATAAGTATTCATTCAAAAATCTTTGTTGTGATATGCAACTTTTCCAAATATTTTCGTATTTCTTTCGCATGTAATTTAAAAGTTCGGAAAATATTTAGAAAGTATTTGCATATCACACCAAAGATTATTGAAAGAATACTTGTCGAAAAGGTTTATTGTTTTACCTGTGTCGTGTCTTTAAAGAACTAAATAAGCATAATAAAGTCTTAATAAACTTGAATTATCCATTATATGAGCCACTGTACATTAAAATATAAATTTGGTCTATGTTTTGAAAGATAATATGCTTACCTGCATTTACTGGCTTAGGAAGTTTTGGAAAATTTAAACATTGGCTTGTATAAATAGCTTGTTTATGTGCTTGATAATTAAGTCGAATCGATTTTGCTTAATCGTATATTGAAGGATTTTTGACAGAATCTTTAATTTCTTCAACTTGTTTTTATAATTCTTTTTTTTTTTTTTTTTTACTATTCAAATCTCTATAAAATTGCCCAGTTTATCTTTTAACACATCAGCCGTTGGTCGGCATTGAGACTCAGCACCTAAGTATTCATTCATCAAGTCTAGTGAAGTTACGTTCTTAAAAAGTACTTTAAAGTGTATAAATAAGTAACCCGGGCAATTGATTTACACTAGCCAATCATACGGAAGTCTTTCTATGATAGCGAGG